GGAGATACGTGCAATTTCCCCGTCCATACTTCCCGCGAAAGATAAAAGCTGGCGCGTACAGTGGTGCCATCTCTTTGGAGAAAATAGCACTGTTTGGATAGTATCGGATAGTATCGTCGACGGGATTACAACACTGATCTCTATAATATAATCTGGATAAGGCATGGCTACGTGTCAGTGACGCAACACGTCCGCCATGCCGCTACTCCCAAAAGTATAGGGATCCGATCTAGCTGCGAGCGACTACTAACATAGACTGGTCCGCGCTCGACAGTTCCACTCGCGTTAAGTGAGCGCGCCGCGCGGGTCAGTGTAACGCGAGTGGAACTGTCGAGCGCGGACCAGTCTATGTTAGTAGTCGCTCGCAGCTAGATCGGATCCCTATACTTTTGGGCGTAGCGGCATGGCGGACGTGTTGCGTCACTGACACGTAGCCATGCCCTATCCAGATTATATTATAGAGATCAGTGGATTACAACGTGCATGGCTGATGAAAGTATGAAGATTTCCTACTAGTTTTACCATATGAGTTTTACCTATGAAGATTTCCTATAATGCCTAGTTCACTGGTCTAAATACAAGAGTTTTATCACAGCTCTGAATCGTCCATGAACGTTTATTTCACAGAGTATGGAGCATGGAGTTTTTACGTTCTACTGAAAAAAAACGATGGAAACACATAGTTGTTGCTACCTATTATACAACATTTAAACGTGACATATATTTATCTACATATCATCATGTATATCATTTATATCATGTATACCATATGTTCCATCATACCATGTCATGCTATCAGGAGTGAATAATAGCGATTTATCAGATAGATAAGAGAGATAAATCAGAGATATCATAGTGAATAATCTCTATTATTCACTCCTAGCTGATGCTATGTATGCGATCATTTATTGTATGTACAAATACATATCATCATGTATCCATTCATATGGCATTTATTAATTCATGACAATCAGAGACGTTAGCAATTCCTGTATCTATATGCTAGTCAATTTTCTGAGATTAACTAAGATGTATTGTGACCTTTCATTCTAATATGTATCGTTGTATACTGAATGTAAATATGTCTTATGCACAAATAAATTCTTTTGAATCTTGAATCTTGAATCTAAGATGACAACTTAAATTCGGTATTTCAAATATAAAAGCTTTAATGATTTCATTTTAACTCTGATCTTCCTACCAACATTAGTATACGCTCGTTGGGTTTCAGTATTTTTCACGTGTAGGGGTTTTGCAGCAAAACATTAATATATTGCAGTGGCAATTAGGCCAAGGAATACACTAGGCCTCTTGCTCTTAGATTGACACACACTTACACGCAGGCATTTTGACGTAAGGACGTGTGAAACAGCTCACTTGAATTGAGCGGCCTGATTTGCAAATGGCGCACTCTCATGAGTCGAGCACCTAATCTCCACAGGGCTAATTTGCAACACATTGGTTGTGTAACCGTGTAACCTACTGAGTCGAGTAAACTGGTGCCCACTCTCTCTCTCTCTCTCTCTCTCCTCTCCTCTCCTCTCCTCTCTCTC